CGTATGCAGCAGGGTCCAGATCACACATCTTATTCATTTGTGTCACCCATGCAGCTTCAATTGTAGCTATCACTGCTGCCCAGAGTAAATTCTTCAATGCAAAGTCCTTATATATTGCACTGAAGTTGTTGTAAAGATGTCGCACACAGGTGCGACGGTCGCCATGTTCAAATATTTGTTCAATAGCTTGTACAAACCCCTTTTGCTTATCAGATATGAAAACCCAATTGTGGCAGTTAACTAAGCCCAAATCATTTCTCAACAACTCCAAAAACCACTTCCAGTTTTCACTGTTCTCAACCTTCACTAATGGCATACGCTATAGGATAAACCCCATTATTACCATCTACACCTACTACTGTCAATAACTAGCTCCCCAGGTTAGTTTTCAAAAATCACCACCTTCCTACATCCACTCAAGAATCCCACCTTTAGTGTTCTCAGACATATGTTCAATCTTTTAAACTCCCTAACACGGCCCTCCAACTACGTAGTTGTACTAACATTTGTATGTTTTAGATGCTCGCACTAATCTCACAAAATTTTGTAGTGGTCAACCACGGTGCCAGGTAATATCTTCATTGCCAAGTCTTTCGTTCGATCACTTAATCACGTCTCCCAAATTGTCCCTTTTAACTTTATCAAAAAATGCACTCACAGACTTATTATGATCAGCCTTCCATGAAGTCAATTACTTATGGGCTAAGTACTTTGGAGTTAGGCGTTTGTTCCGGTATACCAATGTACAACTGTGGTCACCATTGTAAGTCTTCACCATAAAACCATTTTCATTTTTCACCTTGCTTGCGTACAATAGTCAGCCACATGATCTCTCCTTGCATACTGCTCACAATCTATACCTTTCATCCTTAACGTACTTGATCTCTCGATTTGATGTTATAGAATGCTTAATTAATGCTCATTTCAAAATTGCTTTAGTCTCGAACACCATACCAGTAGCGCGCAAAATAAAAAAAGTGAGGGATGTAAAACACAAACTATATTTCTTCAAGGGGGATTTTACAACATAACCATTTTATATGTGGGTATATCAAGCCATATTGAATACATAAGGGGTATTATAGAAAATGTATTAGTATATCGGGGGGATTTTGATAACCTTTTCGAAAATTTGGTTGCTCCATGCGGTCAAGGGATTGAATTCATCTGTTCGTACTCTCTGTCTAGATGTTGTTCCTTCATCTTAAACTACGTAACTCATCTAACTCTCCATAGTCAGTGTCTGAGTCTCTAACTTCTTGCCCATCATACAATCCAAAACCAAAATTAGAACCAAAATTAGCTTACTTCTCAACCTCGTCACCAGCTTCAGGTTCATCATCAACCTTCGTAATCACTTTCCACAAAGAATTCAGTGTCATTTTCCATTCTATCATCTGAGACTTCCTCATCCATCTCTGGTTCTCTTCATGCTGATTTGGTTGAGAAGTACCAACTCCAACTTCGTACGTGAATGTTTCCTCAAATTGCAACCACATCTCCTCTACATTTTCAGGTACATAGTCACCAATGTTCTCTTCACCTAAACCACATTCATCCACATCAAACACCGGGATGTAGCAACCTTCTGTGGTACTTTCACATCCTTCATTACAGGCACTACTATCTGGGACCTCAGACACTGGTTCTTAGTATGGTTCTCGAGCTAAATCTGCTGTCTGGCTAGGCACAATTACTTAAATCTCAAGCAACCTATGTCCTTTAAGGTCCTTCAACATCTCCCTCATATCAGATTTACTACGCAACCTCTTCAGAGCAATACCAAATTACCTTTCCTCATCCTGAAGTAAAATTCTAAAGGCCCACAATCACCATAAATGTACTCAAGAGCCTGGAAAAATTCCCAATTGAAGTATGCACAAAGTTCACAAACATCATCGTACCATATTCATACTTGACATTATTCGATTTATCGAAGAAGACACCACAGTGTATATAGCCATTGTGAAGTAGTCTGTGTATCAGGCTGGATTATAATGTGAACAAGGATTAGTACAGGAATCAGTTTAAGACCTACAACAAACAACATACACATACTTTTTACAACGAAATTCCAACAACCAAAACTTTTTATTTATTAAACCACAAAAATAGAGCATCTTACCATGCATAGGAGCTTCTTTAGACCCTCTGAGTCTTGGAGCTTCTATTCTCGATAACCACAATCAAACTATAAAAATATAAAAAAATACCTAATTTAAATACCGTATTCCACGATTTCACAATTCATGCACTCATTTTTTTTAAAAATAAAAATCCATTTCCACAACTTACATCGCACCTTCACTCAAGAATGACTGTTGTTGAAACTTTAGAACACCTCAAGGAAACCTCTACGATTGTGGGTGAACAAGGAACTGATAGTACAACATGGGTTAGTAACTGAAATCCTCTCAACCTTCGTGTCTCTTTGTCTTGCACAAAAATCTCCCTCTTCGTGTTGGTTGGGTGTTATTAAGATGAAAATATAAATTGAAGCATTTGCCCTTACTTATTTATCCAAATTTCCCCATTTTTCCAGGGAGCTAACGGTACACCAGATGGATACTGACGACAAGGGTGTTTATCGCACAAAACGTTTGAAACATGGGGTTTTATGCTATTTCCAATAGAGATGGTGGTATATCGCAAATTAAAATGTTTATTGAGGCGTATTCTGCCATTAATCCAATTTATTATATTATATTATATTATAATATATTTTTTATATTTTTCAATTTAAATTGTATTAAAAAAATAAGGCATCATCATCGTAGCAAAGCTCATCTTCTTAATTTAGTCAAGAGACTTTCACATGCCTAATAAGTCTTTCGACTATACTAATAGGGTAGTTTACCTTCAAATGCTTTAATTTTCCTTTTTGGACCTTCTTTGTCACAAGAGCCCTGCCTTGGTCTTCAATCCACTTGAACTGTTAGCGAGCATTCCTTTTTGCTTTTTTGAAGTGCGTAGTTGGTTACATAGATGATGTCGTTAAGGAAAGCTATTTTGAAAGTGCTCATTTCTTCACTTTCCTTCTTCTAATGCGAGTATTTAATTCTTGGTTCTTAAATGTCTGTCTCTTGCCCTGATTTAGCATTTCTAATCTCATCTATTGGTTGGTGCTATCATCGAAAAAGATTTTAAAGTAGAGCATGAAGCTGGGAAGTCAAGAAGTTTAGTGAAATCCTCCAATGGAAAGTAAGTAGTCATTGTTGATACGGAAGGCTTCTCTTCAACCCAGTGCTATGTAGCTAACCTCAATCTTTCAACGGCTATCTTGCTAAACCTAAATTCTTGTTAAAGAGTCATTTTTATTCTTTTCTCTCTTTATGCTCGAAATCATCTTCTATCGCCTTCTATCGTCATCGTCTGCTTACTCTTTTTATACACTCTTCTTATACACAATTATTCTCATTTCTTTTCTCTCTTTATGCTCGAAATCATCTTCTATCGCCTTCTATCGACATCGTTTGCTTACTCTTATTATACACTCTTCTTATACACAATTATTCTCAAATCATCTGTTAATTTGTCTACTCTCTCTTTCTTGGTTAATGAGAGAGAATTTGACTAGGTAATGTAGATAAGAAAGAGAGTCTCGTAGAAGCAAGATCTTTGATATTGATAAGGTAATAAGATATAGAGAGTTGAATAGTTAAACCATTTCAAATGTAGGCAAACCTTTTAACTCTAAAACTATAATGGATACATACCAGTTTATATTGACTGCACCCTTCAAATGTGTAGATGTATGAACTCTTGAGAGGAAGCGAAACAATTGAAAAGTTGAAAAGATTTAATAATGAACTACATGCCAAATTTTAAAAGATTATAAACAATAGTAGTTGTTACTGAAAATGAGTCGACACAGACTCTTATAGAACATCCAACATTAAAAAGGTTAGAGACCCCGAATCTTTCGAGAATGAGAAGGCTATTGAATCTGTTATACCTATCAGTTACTAAAACCACTACATAGCGTATGTTGGCTCAATATGATGCAAGGAAAGGGCTTAACATCCGCCATTGAAAATGTGGTGTATGTTGGCTTAATATGATCAAAGGAAAAGGGCTCAACAACTAGAAACAGAGGAAATAAGAGGCTTATGCTAAGAATAAAGCATGGGGGAGTACGCAACTAGCTATATACACACCAAGGATGGGAAATAAAAGAAAAGAAAGGCTCATCATGTCATTATCTTTAGGTCAAACAGTGTTCAGTGAGTTTATATTACAGTATCCACACGTACGACCCTACTTTCACCTTTTGGTATGGAAAAGGAAAATCTTGGAAAACCCTAAAAAGGTATTGCGGAAGGAGACAAAGTATGGTAAAGAAGCATACATGAAAGTCCCATCTTTTTTTGTTTTCAATCTTCCAGTTTAGTTATTTTGAAGAATGCTTGTCCCTCATCTTACCTTAGCTACTGGCATGAAGTTAGTTGGGGTATCTTCCTCGAATCTTGTTATGACCGACCATTCGATGAAAGAGCTTTACAAGTGGAATTTCTCTTCTTCACTCGAGATATTATTGGATCCCACTTTCACCCATTGTCCAAGATTTTTCCATCGTTTTCCCATAAGAGTTCAGGTCGTGTCTCAGTCCCTGTGTGATTGATCGTTCGAAAAGACCAGCTAAGCATCATGGGCTTCGTCAGCCTTTACCTGAACAACTACCTAATACTATACATGTATATCAAACAACGCCTTTTAGCTTTCTTTTAAATTTGGCTCGAACTATTCGACAAAATTCCAAGTGTTACGCAGATGTTAGTCACTTTGTTCTCAATTGTTTCACCTCCTAAGCAAGACAAGCCACCTTTAGCTAAGAGTTGCTTTTCCTTCTGCACCTCGAATACAATATTTGACTTACATGTATTAAGCATATAGCCGCGTTCCTCCTGAGCCAGGATCAAACTATTTGGCCTTACAGTAATAGAACTTGGTGAGCCGAGTGTACTATTTAAGTACACTGGATCTATTGTGGGTGTTCGTGCATGAATGACCATGCTAGGGCATGTGGTCGATGCATTGAAAGTACTATTTATGGAAGAGGGTCTCTAAGTGCTCATGGGTAAAGACATGTCGAAGTGATAGCCTATGGGATAGTTGAACGTAAATTTGTGCATGACTTTATGCAAATAGGGTGAAAGGCAATACATTTATTAAGAAATTATTAATTAAACGGGACGGTGAATATAAATTTTTTAATCCTCACCTCTAGGTGCTCCTGCCCCGTCTTCCTCCTAACACTCAAAATCCATGATAGTGTTGGGTTCATAATGGCCGACTTGGCCCCATCTCGACCCACCTTGTTTCCATTCCTAGTCCTAAGACCTATTACAAACAATCATATTATAATCAAGAGGAAATTTCACAAAATGTCTACTTTTTTGTGTCCATTTGAAAAAATGTCCACCATTGCAAAAATTTCTATTTTGAAAGAATTTAGACCAAAATACCCTTGTTAACAATTTATAATTCCATTTAAACACAAAAATGTACACTTTATTAAAAAAATTATTGGCCAATAAAATTTTGACACATAACCCTAACTTATTTATTTCAAGAGTACAATTGTCAAATCGCAATAAATGCAATTTTTCTCATTGACACAGAAATGTCGAGAACGACATTTCAAATGTAGAGAAATGTCATTCTGGACATTTAATATGTTGAGAACAATATTTGAAATGTCGAGAACATTTAATATTGTGATTTGACATGTGCACTTTTAAAATATAAATATGGTTCAAATGTTGAGAACGACATTTGAAATGTCGAGAATATCATTTGAATGTAACTTCTCATGAAAGCTACTTTTTGAAATTTGTGAAAAATTGGAAAAAAACAAATTGCTTCATTTTTCCATTAAGGGTATAATGGGCAATTTGGTACAAATTTTAAAATGGTGGACATTTTTCAATTGACATCCAAAAAGGTGGACATTTTTGAAAATGCCCCTATAAATACAAATTATTTATGCCGCTTTAATTGAGAAAATTAAAACAAAGTGGAATTAAATACAAATTATTTATGCCGCTTTAATTGAGAAAATTATGCCATATGTGTTACGAAGTAGAAGTCATTAGAAACAATCAACAACTTCATATCTGTATTTAACCAACCAATTCAAAACTAAGAACGCAATCAATAAACAGATTGTTGCGTGTTGAGCTGTGCTGTAAACGGTCATATAAATTCAAATTTAAAACGATTTAGTCATCGACGAAAGACGTTACAACATACAAGATATTTATCGTTGGCGTTATTAAGTCATATCTATTTAATAATTATACTAGCCTCTCATGAATTTACGCATCCTATTCAAGCAACTAATTCAAAATTCAAAAACTCAATAACCTAATTGTGTAAGCAAAAATGTAACATCAATTGCCTCTTCCTGTCATGATATTTTGCCAAATATTTACACCCCTATTTGCCAAATAGGATAAAAGGAAATTAACTATTCCACCCCACCCTACCCTATTCCACCCCAACTAATGTTGTGCCTTTATTTTTGCATATTTTGAAGATCTGCTTACGCATTATCTCATTGGGTGGCACTCTAATATAACTTGCCACCAAAACCCACCTTCTACCACAGAGATTTTCTGCACTAAAAATGGCAGAGATTTCTGGGCAAATTAGCCAAAGTCAATGAAAATCTACTAAGATACGCAAGGCGCTTTCTATAAGCATCTGTTTTGGCTAGCAGAAAGGAGAAACCATCGAAGAACCATCCAATTTCACTTCTTCCTTTTGGTAAGTAAGAAAAAATATCATTAGTTCCCAACCCTCCCCTTTCTCTAGTCTTTAAGAGCTCGAGGAGAAAAGGCTATGGCAAAAGATTTTTATGGGCTTTGCTGAGTATAAATAAAAAAAGAGAAACATTAAAATAAGTTGAAAGTTTTTGAAGGGAAAATGATGTCTTGAAGTGGAGAATTTGAGAAGAAGGTCTGTTCTTGAGTAACTTTTAAGTAACATTATTTTCTTTTTCTCTGGGATTATGATTACTACTTTTCATTCTTCTTGAATTTTTAAAATGGCTTCTCTCTCTCTCTCTCTCTCTCTCTCTAGAGTCTAGATGTGATTGTCACATACTTTTAATATTTTTATGTGATTTTGTCTGTAATTTCTTGTTTTCTTGGTTAGTGGAAGTTTCAATCTTTTTTTCCAAATTAAACTATTTTTTAATTTGTTTCTTTCTGTGATGTCTCTGTCTTGTAATCCAGTTCCTTCACGAGGTCGTGTCAGATTTTTATTTTTATTTTTTTAAAAAAATGGTTTCAAAAAATTTTAAAAAAAAAAAAAAAAAGCAGTCTTTATCCTTTCATTATTTTAAGGTTTTATGCCTTTCATAAACCTTTTGCTCAATCCTCTGTTTTTCTCTCTCTCATCAGTTCTCTGTTTACAACATGTAAAGATTCCAAGTGTTTTTTCCCGTTGTATTTTGTACTTTTCTCACCAAAAACCTATAATTTTTACACATTCTCTGTCACTTTCTTTGTAAATTTTTGCAGAAATTTTGTGTTCTGAATTCAACAAAAAAATGGGAAAAGCTACAAGGTGGTTGAAGGGCTTGCTGGGGATGAAGAAAGACAAGGAAAATGTGGAGAATCATTCAAATCATGGTGAAAAGAAAGAGAAGAGAAGATGGAGCTTTGCTAAGTCCGGTAAGGATTCCGGCGGATTGACTCAGATTCAGGTGACTGACGGGGCATGGATGAGATCTTATATTGATGAGACAGAGAAGGAGCAGAACAAGCATGCCATTGCCGTGGCTGCTGCCACGGCGGCTGTGGCTGACGCTGCTATTGCTGCAGCTCAGGCAGCGGTGGCTGTTGTGAGGCTTACCAGCCACGGCAGAGGAGGTTTGTTTCATGGTGGCAGAGAAAGGTTGGCCGCCATCAAGATTCAGACAGTTTTTAGAGGCTTGTTGGTTAGTGAAATTTCTATTTCAATTTCACTATTCACTTTAATTTTGATTTCTTGAATTGAAATTCAATGTGTGCATTGATTTGCATTTATATCTCTGTTGTTCTGGAATTTGATCAAACAGTATCAATTTTATTACAGTCAATAATAAATGTATAAATAATTCCCTTATGAAGGAACTAGGAAGGGAGCAGATTAAAATGATTCAAGTAGTCGACCCCAAATTTATTAGAAACATTATTGATTACGCGTGTAAGTTTCAATTAGGCTTATCGAATTGTGGGTTTTTTTTTCCTGCCAGGCCCGAAAAGCACTACGAGCTCTAAGAGGACTCGTAAAATTACAGGCTGTTGTTAGGGGCTTCCTTGTACGAAAGCGTGCTTCTGCGACATTATACAGTATGGAAGCCCTCATTCGAGCACAGACTGCTGTTCGGTACCAAAGGAATCGTCGTTCAATCAGTAACGATTACAGATTCCAACCAGAAATGCGCGCTAAGAAGTCCATTGTAAGAATCAGTTATTTGGGAATTGAAAGAATTTATCGAATTTGAATGAATGCTAACACACATGATTATTGCAGGAAACTAGGAGTGAGTTTCATAGCAAGAGAATATCAGCTTCTTATGACCTTTCCCATAATGCATTTGATGAGAACTCGAAAATAGTTGAAGTCGACCCTCACAATCCCGGATCAAGATCAAGGTCACGTAGAATAAACACTTGTGTTTCACAGTGCTGCGATGACCAATACTATCAAGGAATTCCATCTCCTCTTCGAGTTCAATTATCAATCCCCGATCATCATCACCACGTTCATGATTTTGACTGGAACTTCATGGCTGAAGATTACAAGTTTTCGACTGCACATAGCACTCCTAGATTCATGACTTGTGGGCGGGCAAATGGTCCAGTTACACCAAGCAAGAGTGTATGTGGGGACGGCTTCTTCAGGCAATACTCGAAATGTCCCAACTATATGTCAAACACACAGTCATTCAGGGCAAAGCTAAGGTCTCTAAGCGCCCCAAAACAAAGACCCGACTCCGGCCCTAAGAAGAGGCTTTCGCTGAACGAAATAATGGCTTCAAGGACTAGCTTTAGTGGTGTTAGAATGCAGAGGGCAAGTTCTCAAGTTCAACAAGATTTTGATTAATTTCTAAGAAATTAGCTTGTTTTGAGTAAAATAGCTTCTCTATGCTTTGCTTTTCTAATGGCTATATTGAAAACTGATAGAATAGAACAGAGTTGCTGTTGTACATTCCTTCACAGAGTTATTTTCATCAATGAAATCAAAGCTTTTCCTTTCACTGGATTATCCTAGTATTTGGATTTTCTTTCTTTTGTGATTTTATGGGTAATTTCATGCATGTTTGTCAAAGTTTATAATTGTTTATAAGCTAATCAAACTTGATTTTTATTTACATATTTATAAGACCTTTAAATTTTACTTACTTTCTAATTGAACATTCTTGGGACAAACCATATATGAGCACTTAAAAGCTTAAGCTAGACAAGCACGAATTCATTTTCTTTCATGCCAAGCATTTAAATCGTTGAATTTCATAATATGTTTGTTACGAATTATTTGATAAGCCATGTTCTTATGTTGTGACGTACTTTTTTCATATGGCTAATTTTGCCACACTGAACTCAGACAGCTTATTTTAGGTTGTACTTTTTTTTACACTTGGGATGGGCACAATTTTCAATATTCGCCCATGTTTAGACATTGCCAAGTTTTTCTCCTTATTAGTGCCACTTTATTCCACAGTACAAGAATATTCTTGCCTTATCATAGTATAATAATAAGAGCCGTGACTAATTTTCAAAATTTAAAAAACTAGTGCTTGAAATTTATCTGAGAGTAGGGATATAAACGAGCCGAATCTTGTAGCTCGAGCGTGGTGTAGCACGACAAAAAATTGGCTCGTGCTTTTTGGCTTGATCCGTGTCTAGGCTCAGGCTTTCGGCTTGATTTTACTTCTTTCTTTTTTATTTTTTTAAATTCTAAATTGTGAACAGCGAAAACACTGACATGTTTAGGTTAGGACTATCGCCTCAAAAAAGGGGCTCGCCCCGAGCTGCAAGCCAAGCTGACTTCGATTTTTTTCTCGTGTTGAGCCACAAATGGGCCGGTTTGATACCCCTATCTAAGAAATGCAATTTTTAAGGACATGATAATAAGGATAAATGGTACTCTTAACATGAATAAATATGCTACATGTACATAATTTTGAGTACATAATGGTATCCACACTCTCATATAGGGTAGAATCAACTTACCTTTATGTACATAAAATTATATATATGTAGACAAACCCTAACATGAATAAACATCTAATGGATGTCAAATATCACTTATTTTTAGAGTATTGATAAATTAATTTATAAATATAATGCAATAAAATCTCGATAAATAAATATTTGATAAATTAATTTCCTCGATTAAATAATAAATTTTATTTGTCACAACACGAATTAGTGTACTAAATTAATAATCTCACTAAATGTATAAGATAATAATTTCATAAAATCCTTTGGGGCCCTATAAAAATACAAATTAATAATTAGTTAAATATATGAAGTTTTTTTTGTAATATATATTAATGAACTTTTTACTTGATAATTTCTATTTTTACTATTCATTTTTCTGGAGATATTCTTCTAAAGTTGCTTACTTTTTCTTTGTATACAAATTCAATTCAACCCCATCTCTAGTTTTTTGCAACGCAGAGGGCTTGACAAAACTCTCAAACCTGAATCGAATTGAGCGGTTCTTCATAAGTTAAATACTCGAACAGGTATCTGAATAGAGAATCGATGGGTTCGGTTCGATTCGGTTCTTAGTTCTAGACCAAGAACTGAAAAACCAAATATAAATAAATTTTTTAATTTTTTATATTGAATTAATTAAATTATTTTATTTAAAAAAAAATAAATTAGCAAATTAACTAATTTAGTGATTAATGCTTCAACTCCCAAGCCCAGTCCATGCCTAGCCCAGTCCAACCCAATTTCTAAATTCAATTTTTTGTTTTAATTTTTTGGCACAATTATTAATTTCATTTTTAGTCTAAGATTTAGGCATTTTTAAGTTTTTATCCTTCCCTTTTTAATTTCATACTTTCATTCGATATTTTCGATCATCTCATTCCCAATTGATGAAATTTAAATGTTGTATGGAATAGTAAAATGTTGTATGCAAAAAACTTACTATTTTAGAAGTTTCTACTAGATGGAATTCAACATTCTTAATATTAGATAGTGCATTTAATTTGTAAAATTTACGAATGAATATGTCATTAGTTGTATTTATTTAGTATTACTGTAAATGTTAAAAAATTTAATTATGGTACGAAACTGAACTCGAACGGTTCCATAATTATATTTGAACCTGGAAGTTCCATTTATTAAATACCCGAAAATTTTGGTTCGATTCGATTCTGAAGAGAACTGAACTGGACCATGTCCATCCCTAGCAATGCATATACCATTTTTGTAGAAAATAATTATTTAAAGTCATGATGCTTGAAACTTCTTTCGGAGAAACAATTCGTAAAGCACAGCCATTATCTAAATCGTTATTATTCTCGATGAGCGTATTTAGCACCATTTGAATCATCTCTTTGGCAGTAGAATATTCTATCATCGTATTATTTTCACTTGGATAATTTAAGAGGTTTTTGATATCCATCATAATTCATATATTTATAGTGTTGACTAAAAATGGATTAAAAAAAAGCAACTAACAAGAACTTCACCCGCCCTTCTACATTTTATCCCTCTCTAATCTCATTTCTCTTTGCTCTTTCCATTTTCTTTTCACCATTTTCTTGAAGACACTATTGAAATTTTCATAAAACTTAAACTTTATAAAATATTATGAATTGTCAAGATTTCCATGTCAAATCTTCAAGAAAATTATTTAATGCGGAACATACCTTGATCTATTGATTTGTATCTTGAATAATGAATCTTGGTATTTAAATCTTGATTTATTGTTCTTCAATTTAATTGCTTCAATCATTCTTCTTGATTCTTGATTGTAATTCTTGAGTATGGGTTTTTGATATTCCTCTATTAATTCTTGTGTTGATGAGATGACACAAAAAATGAGAATTGCATATGAATTGGGGACCGTAACCCTATATATAGTTTACATATGTATTGGCTCATCGTCAAATACAAATCATAATGGATCCGGTCTCTACACATATAATTCGGACCACTCTTTATTTAGATGCCCAAATTCCAATTATTCAATTCTTTATTAAATCACTTTGGTTTTTTGGGTTTAACTTTAAGATAGCNGATTATATTAATATAGGATCAAAGTGGTCTTCGTTACAAGTAATATAATTAAATCTATCAATGGTCATGTACATCAATACAATCAAATGACATAGATCAAATGTAGATGTAGCATGAAAATTACATGTAATGTGATCCAAACATGCCTATTTCCAACTGGTCTTACTTTATTCTTTAATACCTTATGAGATCAAACTAAAGAAAACTTTAATAAGAGTAAAAAAAATTGAACTAAATACTTTATTACTGAAATTAACTGAAATAACTTGAATGTGCACAACCAAAAATCATGTATCAGAAAGACGACATCCAAAAATTACAAACTCTCACTAAACTAGTATATCATCAAAATTTGCAACGCTCATGTGAGTGGTATACTCATGAAAGACCATGGATGGTAGACCTTCAGTAAATAGATCTGCTATCATGGTGTTTGTCCCAATATGTTTTATAGTAACCTGACCACTCTGAACACTTTATTTAACAACTAAGAATTCGATGTCTGCAAATTTAGACTTTGTTAAACTCCCATTGTTATTTGAATATAAGATTGATGACTTATTGTCACAAAATGGTTTAAGTGGTCTTTCAATTCCATGTATAATTCGAAGCCCAGTGATAAAAATCCGTAGTCATATTCCTTGGTTGGATGTGTTATAACATGCTATAAACTCTGCTGCTATGATTGAAAAAGTTATGAGTGTCTGCTTAGCACTCTTCTAGAATATAGCTCCTCCAGCCAACACGAAGACATAGCTCAACGTGGATCTCCTATTATCTTGACATCCAGTAAAAATAGAATTAGCATAAGCAATGATCAACCACATTCATCTTAAATCCAAACGAGATGATTATTTGATGAAATTTGTGAGACCATTGACGGGAAATCTGCTTAAGCCCGTAAATGAATTTCTTTAATTTGCAAACCATTTTCTTTGAGTCTCCAACACAAAGTTTTCTAGTCACACCATATATATCGTCTCATCAATGTCACCATTGAGAAATGACATCTTTACATCCGTCTAATGTAGTTCAATATCAAAATGTGCCACAAGTGCCATTATAATCCTAAAAGAGTCTTTCATTGAAATTGGAGAGAAAGTCTTTTTGTAATCAATGCCTTCCCTTTGAATAAAATCATTCACAACAAGACGAGCCTTATATCTTTCCACACTACCCTTCAGATTCCTTTTGGTTTTATATATTCATTTAGAGCCAATGACTTTCGTACCTTCAGGCAATGAGACAAGTTCTTAAACGTCATTATTTTTCACGGACTTTATTTTCTCATCCATGGCATTAATCGACTTTTGAAAATTATTACTTTGCATTGCTTGATGAAAGTTGAAAGGATCTTGTTCCATCAATCTAATACCATCCTCATGTTCTTGAAAAAATACTATAAAGTCATTCGTAATTGTATTTCTCTTTTCTCTAGTGGATATCCTTAATGACATTTATTTTTGATGTTGTTGAGTTTTTTTTTAAAACAATCTCTTGATTGTTTATAGGGGGTTATGGAATATTGTCACGATCCGAAATTGCTTCTTAAATAAGATCTAGAACAAGAGTTTGTCCCTAATCCTAATCATTGTCAATTGCAAAGGGAGAGATGTTTATATGTTCCTCCTCAAAGATAAAATTCCTAACTTTATCCCCCCCCCCCCCACCACCACCCAAAAACTCCACATCCTCAAAGAATCGGGCATTTCCCATTTCAATAATTGATTTTGTAGTGGGATCATAAAATTTGTTACCCATTTGACATTTCAAAGTATCCAATAAAATAGCAACTGATAGTTCTGAAATCTAGCTTTCTTTTCGATGGCTTATAAGGTCTTG